ATCGACACGTTTCAGAAAGGCGGTGCATAGAGGAGAAACAATAATGTACAGTATGTGGAAAATTATGTGTTTTTAACCTTAAACCACAAACACATTGCATTACACCAAATACACCAAATAATGTTATTTTTAGCAGCATCATATGACCCCTTTAATATTTTTTTTCCCTTCCAAAATTAGGCTATTGTTTTCTCCATTTCAGCAGCACTTACATTCACCAAATTTTAGTTGCATTTTATTTCTGTAATCTGAAAGTTTTTACAGAGGGGTTTGTTCATATATTATTCACACTGACTTTTTAGCAGCATCATATGACCCCTTTAATATTTTTTTTCCCTTCCAAAATTAGGCTATTGTTTTCTCCATTTCAGCAGCACTTACATTCACCAAATTTTAGTTGCATTTTATTTCTGTAATCTGAAAGTTTTTACAGAGGGGTTTGTTCATATATTATTCACACTGATTAATATAACATTTTATTCCTAAAACATAGTGAAAATGTTTTTATTTCTGGCTGTTGACAGTATTTTCTGATTTATAAAGTGATATAAAGGGAAATCCAAAAATCCCCTCCGTAAAAACCTTTAACTCTTAACATGCCAACAAAATGAAACCTGGCTTTATGTAATGTTCAGATTTCTGTTATTGAAATATATGCAAATTTCAACTTCAGAAAACTTGTAACAGAAAACAACTGTATTAATGTACTGTGATTAATCATTTTGGGATTACGGTGATATCTAGTAGTTATAGGCAGTGTTGAGGGTAAAGCATTACAAGTAAGGCGAGTTACGTAATCAGATTACTTTTTTCAAGTAACTAGTTTACTTTTTTAATTTACAAGAAAATGTTTTTTCAAAAAAGTAACACCAGTTACTAACCAGTGTTGGGGAAAGTTACTTTTATTGCATTACTCCCTAAAAAAAAGTAACAAATTGCATTGCTTAGTTACTTTTTATGGAAAGTAATGCGTTACATTATTTTGCGTTACTTTTTCTCATCTGAGCAGGAGGGCTGTCAGTCAATAAATGGGAAAACAGGTTATTTTTATAGCCTATTCACCGGTGTCTTGCCTTAAAGCATGCAGGAATTATAGAAATTTACTGAAACAATCTGGAGATCAAATGCAATCAGCTATCTTAATGCTGCTGCATTTCAAACTCAAGAAAAGCTAAGGTAAAAAAAAACAAAAAAACAATAAAATTCCAGATTAAGATACCAAATACATTCAACAGGGAAATATACAGGCCCATTCTAATCAACATATAACAACCACTCACAACACACTGCTGCCCTCTTGTGTCAGATACTGGAAATGACCAATTGTGCCCATTACAAGCAACAATCAATTCAGCCTCATTGATTATAATGGGATTGGCAATTTTGTAACATCATTTGCTTTAAGTGTATGTGTCAGGTAAGCTTTTTCACATTTTCTGTGCTGATTTTGGAGAAATTCTGCGGGATTTAAATGAGATAAAATGCGCTACATTCTTATTAGTAGATGAAAGCATATTCAAATTATCTATAATATTGCACAGAATGTCTTTCTGTGCAGTTCTGCACATGCAAATCTGAAGTTCTGTACAAACTTAATTAAAACAACATCCCAAATGGCTGAGTGCAAAATAATTATAAAGTTTATTTTAACAAGGAAAGCCCAAACAAATGATAGTGAGCTACAAACATAAAAATAGCATGCTAAACGAAACAAAACTAATGAGCTGTGCCTGTGTTCTTCACAAGTGCATGTCTGAGTGTTTCTCAAAGATAATCGTCCTCGTCAGTCCAGGACGAGTCGTCATCGCTGGCATAATGAACCAGTGAGTCGTTAGACTCGGAGGAGTTCAGGAACACCGAGCTGTCACTCTGAAAGAATGCGTCGCTGCTGCTGCTGCTGTCGCTGTCGTCATTTATTACCACGACTGCTGGAGAAACGCTTGCTTTCTGACCTGAGAACACAGTTTATATTTAGCGTTTCAGACAGGACTTCATACTTTTAAAGCACCATTTGTACCTAGACGACTTGTTTTTATGAGAACATACCTGATCTTAACCGTTTAAAGCAGCACAGCTGTTGGTTATATTGTTGAGTTAAAGCAAGACACTACATTGTTTTTTCATTGACTGAATTTCTCACCATGTTTTTAGGAATAAATGCTGTATAATGTTTCTTTGTTTAGTTTTTTCTGTCTGTTGACAGTATTTTCAGACTTCTCTGACCTCCGCAAAAACAAAATGAAGCAAGAATTTTGAACCTGGCTTTATGCAGTTATACAGTACATATTTTAGAAAACTTGCAACAAAAAAAATTTGCAATTCTTATCAGTCAACTGGGGAAGTAGTATGGTGATATCTTTTAAATTTTTACCCTATTCAGTCTTGCCTTAAAGGGATAGTTCACCCAAAAATGAAAATTAGCCCATTATTTCGTTAGACTCGGAGGAGTTCAGGAACACCGAGCTGTCACTCTGAAAGAATGCGTCGCTGCTGCTGCTGCTGTCGCTGTCGTCATTTATTACCACGACTGCTGGAGAAACGCTTGCTTTCTGACCTGAGAACACAGTTTATATTTAGCGTTTCAGACAGGACTTCATACTTTTAAAGCACCATTTGTACCTAGACGACTTGTTTTTATGAGAACATACCTGATCTTAACCGTTTAAAGCAGCACAGCTGTTGGTTATATTGTTGAGTTAAAGCAAGACACTACATTGTTTTTTCATTGACTGAATTTCTCACCATGTTTTTAGGAATAAATGCTGTATAATGTTTCTTTGTTTAGTTTTTTCTGTCTGTTGACAGTATTTTCAGACTTCTCTGACCTCCGCAAAAACAAAATGAAGCAAGAATTTTGAACCTGGCTTTATGCAGTTATACAGTACATATTTTAGAAAGCTTGCAACAACAAAAAATTTGCAATTCTTATCAGTCAACTGGGGAAGTAGTATGGTGATATCTTTTAAATTTTTACCCTATTCAGTCTTGCCTTAAAGGGATAGTTCACCCAAAAATGAAAATTAGCCCATTATTTACTCACCCTCAAGTCATCCTAGGTGTATATGACTTACTTCTTTCACATGAATCCAGTCAGAGTTATATAAAAAATTGACTTTGATCTTGTTGTTTAATGGCAGTCAGCGGGTGTTGCAGTTCATCAGTGCAAAAAGAAGTGAAATAAAGCACATCCATCTATAATAAAAAGTGCCTCACA